AAGGCGGCCATATACGCACGGGCTGCTGACAGCTCGCCCACGGCGTATCTCCGCACGCCTACCACACCTGACGATACGCAACTCCACTGCGACACCAACGCCTTCAAACCTGACAAAGCTAGCACGGACGATAGCGACGCTGACACCGAAGCTGGCGGCTTCAGCCCCAGCGACGGTAGTTCGCCCGACACGGACAACGACGAAGACCACACTTGTGAACCACCACCTGCACAAGTCCCCGACATTCTCCCTGCCAACGCCATTGTTGCTAATACCAAAGACATGCTTAAGCTCATGGTCGACACCTGGGAGCCCATCTTGGGCAGGTACCGCGCCCGTGCAGGACATGACGCCGAAGCCATGCCGACGTGGGCTGACTTCTACGACGAGTACCGACAAGAGCTGCCTACGCCATCACCAGCTACCCCTTTCCACCTCACCGACGACCAACTCATCCACTTTATTCGCACCCGTTCACCGCGCCGTGCGGGGGGACTGGACGGCTGGACTACTAAGGAGGCTAAGGAGTTACCCGACGACATCCTTCGCCTCTTCGCCAGCGTCTTACGCGCTATGCAACGCACTGGCACCATCCCAGAACCCCTCCTTCATGTGCCAAACCCGTGCCTCCGAAAAGGCCGAGGCGAACTCCCAACGGACCAACGACTTCTCTCGGTGCTTTCCGTTTGGATGTATGCGTGGGAAGCGCCAGCTTACCGCAGCCTCACGGACTGGCGGAAAGGATGGACCCACGCCACGAGCTTTGGCGCTGTCCCCAAAGCTACCATTGGGGACGTCAGCACCTCTCTTGCCCTGCGCATCGAACACGCCAGGGCCTTACTCCTTCCCTTAGCTGGGGCTGCCCTTGACCGACAGAAGTGTTTCGACTACCTCATCACGGACATCTGCCTTAACCTTGCGCTTCACGCGGGGTGCCCCCAAGACATCGTTACTGTCCGCAGAAACTTCTACAGTCGCCACAAACGCTACATCCGCATGAACGGAGCGTACTCTAAGGAATTGGCCAGGACCAACGGTCACCTCCAGGGAAGCTCTTGGTCCCTGGACGACATTAAGCTGCTCATGTGTGTGTGGACCAAGAGACAGCATCGATACGTTCCGCGATCACTCAGCACTACCTTTGTTGACGACAGCAACTCCACTACTCACACCGCGCCTGAGTTGCAGAAATCTCTTGATGAAACCGCCAAGTTTGATCGATTTTCAGGTCAACGCATTCACCCTGGCAAAGTGGCGGGGTGGGCGCTCACCGACGAGCTTCACGCCGCCGTTACCCAGCTCACTCTGGCGGAACGGCCCTTACGCGTGGTCGACTCCTTCAAGCTCGTCGGGAGTTACATCAACGCCGAGGCAGCGCCGGCTCCAGCCGCGCTTAACCTCACGGCCACCGCTGACGCCCGTGTTCGGAGGGCGACTAGTCGCCTGCCGCGCATTGGCAAGCTCCCATCGCCGATGCTTATTAAGGCGCGGCACGCCCGTTCCCTTGCTGCCAGCGTCTGTACCACGGGCACCGACATTCAAGCCCCATCAGGCCCCGTCAAAACTGCCTACAACCATGCCCTTAAGGCGGCTATCCGCCCCAAGGGAAACAAGTGGGTCGAGTTTTGGACTCTCATGGCCGTGTGCGTCCCAGGACACGCCCTGGAGATTGACGCCATCACGCAGCGTGAAGTTTTCCTGTGTCTGCGGCGACAGGTTAATCGCGACGCTACACTCTGCGGTCTCGTCAGGGATCTCCAACACCACGTTCAGACCCTGTTTGGGGGAGGACCTGTCGGACGACTTGTCCAGACGCTCCAGCAGCTCCGTTGGACCTGGCCCACATTTGGCATCATGTACGACGACTGGGGCTGCCAGATCAGTTGGCTGAACTTACCCCAAAACGCCTTCCTTCACATGCTGCGGGCCTCACAACGCAGAGCCTTTCTGAGGAGGATCAAGCCACGGCGTCACGACCTTGGATACCTTGCCTCTGTCAGACAGGGCCTCGACCTCTTCGCCAGCACGTGGCTCGCCCGAACGAAAGGAGCAGCCAAATGCAATGCCTGGCAGCTGGCGCTCCTCCTGAACTACCTGTCGGGCGGGGACCACACCCAACAGCGACGATCCCGATCAAACACGTCTGCTGACCCCAGCCCCATCTGCCGATACTGCGACGAGGAAGAGGAAACTCAGGAGCACACTGTCCGCGACTGCAAGTGCTGGGCCCGAGAAAGACTCCCTCTCACCACCCTCATCAGTGACGAGCAGTGGGCCCGTCTTCCGCCGCACACAAGACACTGCGGGCTCTTCGATGAAGACCCAGCCCTCCTCGACCTGCAGGCCGACCTCGCGAGGGACCCGCTACCTCAGCCCATACCGCGGCCCCCACCTGAGGGAGATCCTGCGGCTTCAGCCCAGGACTCCTACACCACCTACCTTGACCACGACACTGGTTGGACATGGGTCTACGCTGCCACGGACGGTGCATGCACCAACCAAGCCATCCCATTGCTAGCACGAGCGGGCTACGGCGTCTACTACGGCATCGACCACCGCATGAACTACAGTGCACGCGTTCACGGCATTACGCAGAACGCACAGCTTGCGGAGACCCTCGCCATTGTCCACCTCACGGCATGTGCTGAACGGCCCGTACACGTTTTCGTGGACAACCAGGCGGTGGTCGATGGGTTCCAAAGTATCATCGACGGACACTCACCACCGCAGGGCACGCACGTGGAGCTCTGGGAAAAGATCCACCGATGCGTCATGGCCAAGCCCAACATGTTCCGCGTCGAGAAAATCGCAAGCCACCTGGGCGACATGGGCATCGACCTCGGGCTCATCGGGCCCATCGCGGAGGAGTTCAATCGTCAGGCTGACGCCCTCGCCACAACGGCGGCACGTACTCATAACCTTCCAGACGACATTGTCGAAGCTGCCAAAACACGACATCGCCAAGCGACCGTGCTTCATGGAGTCGCTGTCGCCATCTACGAGCGTAGACACCGCACACTCCCCCTCCCACACCGCAGGGCTGGGTTTACAGCTGCGGAACTCAACAAAATGGAACCAAATCCCCTGCTGTCTGACCAGGCACCACCCGCGGCTGGACCAGACATCCCACAGAACCCGGACGAGCTCTGGGCCGAGGCCCAACGGGCGATATTCGACGAACAGGAGGACGACCCGTTCGGCTTTGGCGGGGGCCTTGACTTCCTAGGCGACGGGCCAGCCAGCGCCAACCTTGCCCCGTCGGGCACCCGCACGTCGCCCTCGACTCCGCCACTGAGAGCGGCATCGCACCCACATGACAACGCCGCTCACCTTCAAGACGCTGACGAACAGGAGGACGACCTGTTCAGCTTCGGTGGGGGATCGGACGCTTTGGACGACGGACCAGTCAGCGAAAACCCTGCCCCGTCGGGCAACCTCTCGATGCCTACCGCGACTCCGTCCCCGAGAGCGACATCGCCCCCATACGATGATATCGGCCACCGCCAAGACGCCGACGACGACTTGGGTGACCCCCGCGGACTGAGTGGCATAGACGACGCACCGCCGACACCCCACGCTGCCGACCATGCCGCCCTACCGAGACGCCACCCTTCTACGCGACCGACCTCAGAGCCCTTGCACGGCATCATGATTGGTCCCACCGCGCAAACCACTCCGCCCCCCCACCGGCGGCAGCCCGCGGGGGCGGCTTCAGCCCCCCCGCAGGGCACTGAACCAGACAGGCCCTCGCGCCCCGTCCACGCTTCCATCGTTGCTGAGCGAGAGGATGCGGCTCTCCCGACCTCTCGGGGCGTGGCCCTAGCGGCTCCAGCCCTGGGGTCGCGTGTTCCCCTCCAGTCACCTTTCAAGGGTGACGGACGACAGCGTACAGGGTGCCGCACTACGCTAGTCCACCATCTGGACAGGCGTACCGAGGACCTCGCCTCTGTCTCGAGGCCCTCGGCCGCTGGCACTGAGCAGCCACCCCTCACCGACCGCGAAACCGAGCTGTCCCAGGCTATGGCTGCTCTCCAGCAGAGGTGCGTTGCTCTCGCCGCGGACCTCGCCGCCGCCCAAGCTCGCCAAGGCCCTCTACTCCAGCGCCTCCACAGCGCCGGGCGAGCCTTCGCCGAGCTGCTCACGCCCTCGCCCGATGGTGCCGTGCCGTCACTCACCATCCAAGCTATGCTGTCATCGTTCCGCGGCGCTCCACCTGGTGCCCCGCGCTAATCTCCTCCTTTCTGCCTGCCCGTGTGTACGCGTGGCTCCGCGTCCACGGTGTCAGGGCGTGGGGGCGGGGGGTGCCCCGTCACTGCGCGCCGCTTAGCGGCCAAGCGCCCAACTGGCGGTCTGCCAAGCCGCCTAGCCACGTGTCAGCACGTCGCCTTTCTTGTTGGGGCCTCTTTCTTTACGCGGTCTGACAGGTGAGATCATCATCGTCTGTCCGCCGTCTGTAGCGTCTGTCGCACTGCGCCGGGGGAGGGGTTTTTTGTTGCCCGCCCTCGTATCTAAAGGCTGCACCGCCGCAAATAGTGTTTTGCGAGTTGTCGCACCGCAGTGCGCCTCGCGGACGGACCCTGGTCCGCCTACTTGTCCGCCTCCTCCTCCTCCTCCTCCTCCTCCTCCTCCTCCTCCTCCTCCTCCTCCTCCTCCTCCTCCTCCTCCTCCCTCCTCCCTCCTCCCTCCCCCCTCCCCCTCCCCCTCCCCTCCCCTCCCCTCCTCCTCCTCCTCCTCCTCCTCTCCTCCTCCTCCTCCTCCTCCTCCTCCTCCTCCTCCTCCTCCTCCTCCTCCTCGTCCTCGTCCTCGTCCTCGTCCTCCTCGTCCTCCTCCTCCTCCCCCTCGTTCTCCTCTTCCTCCCCCTCCTGCTCCCCCTCTTCCTCCCCCTCCTCCCCCTCCTGCTCCCTCTCCTCTCCTCCTCCTCCTCCTCCTCCTCCTCCTCCTCCTCCTCCTCCTCCTCCTCTTCCACCCCCTCCTCCACGATCGGTGGGGGGAGCCCTGGCCTTTGCGTGCCTTGCCAGGGTCGCCTCGTCCTCGGCCGCTCCCCGCGCGCGGTCGCGCGGCGCTGGCCGCTCTGCCGCAGGACGCCGCTGCGGCCGCGGCCCCCCTGCTCGTCCTCGTTCTCGCCCCCCTGTTGCTCCTTCTGCTTCTTCTCGGCCTCCCCTGCTTCTTCTCGGCCTCCCCTGCTTCTTCTCGGCCTCCCCTGCTTCTTCTCGGCCTCCTCCTGCTCCGTACATAGAAACTCGGGGGTCCGCGCGGATTTCTCGGATCGGCGCTGGGGCCCCCTGGCGGCGCCTCCGGCGAAGCCCCTGGCGCGCTCCGCGCGCCAGGGAGGGGGGTCCAGCGCATATCCGAGAAATCCACGCGGACCTCAGAGTTTTCTAATTTGCATCATTTGTCCTTCTCATCTCCCTGCTCGTCCTCCTTCTCGCCCACCTGTTTCTCGGCCTCCTGCTGCTCTCTGCAAGACCCCTTGACTTATGTTGCTCCCATCGTACTTGATGACCACATCCCAGACATACTTTCGAGCACCCAGGAATGTATCGAACTCGTGTCGAGCGAATATCGCCTCCCTGGGCCCGACACGTGAAAACCCTTATGTTTCGGTACTTTCTTGGTGCTCGACATTCTTTCTGGTGGCCAAGGCTAAAATCCGCCGACCCTGTCGGCGTGTGGAATGGGTTGTTCTTCTCGTCCGTGCCTCCTTCCCTTTCCCACGTTTTCCGTCTCCTTCTCGTTCGCCTCCCCCTCTTCCTCCTCCTCCTCCTCCTCCTCCTCCTTCGTCTCTTCCTCCTGCGTAAAATAAATTGACTCGAAGGGTTTCCCCCTCCCGTTGTTCCCTTCCCTGGCCGGGGGGGGGGGGTCCGGGGGAAGCCCGGGGGAGGGTCCGGGGTGGGTCCCGGGAGGGTTCTGGGGGGGATCCCGGGTCAGAATACCACCTCCCTCCTCCTCCTCCTGAGCGTCTTTTGCCACCTTATCCATCTCCTTTTCGTTTGTCTCTCCCTCCTCCACCTCCTCCTCCTCCTCCTCCTCCTCCTCCTCCTCCTCTTCCCCCTCCTCACACACTTCCTCCGCCTACCCTGTCACGTTGTCCTTTAGCTCCTTCCTGTGATCACACATCCCGTCGCCATCGACGGCCAGAACCTTCAGGATCGGCGGCAGCAGCCGTAAGGCCTTCACAATAAATTGACACATCCGAACTCTTGACCTCGTCATCCTCCCCGTCTCCGCGCCCCTATGCCTGCCTCTGGTCTCCCCCGTCCTCTTCCGCCCTCCCCCATCATCGTCCGCCCTGCTCCTCCGTCCTCTTCCGTCTTCCTCCTCCTCCTCCTCCTACCGTCTCCTCCTCCTCCTCCTCCTCCTCCTCCTCCCTCCCCTCCTCCTCCTCCTCCTCCTCCTCCTCCTCCATCCTCCTCCTCCTCCTCCTCCTCCTCCCTCCTCCTCCTCGTCCTCGTCCTCGTCCTCCTCCTCCTCCTCCTCCTCCTGCTCCTCCTCCTCCTCCATCCTTCCCCTCCATCCCTATTCAGTATGAACAGCTTCTTCCTGTCGCACCCCGAGACGTGCCGGTGGGGCGGGCCGGGCGTTTCGCCCGAGACTTCCTCACCATTTACGATCCCGAAGCCTCGCCATCGCTCGGACGTCCATTCCCTGTGTTTTTTTCGGCTTCGTGCGTGGTTTTTTCGCCAAATGATCAAGGATGCTCCTCGGTGGTCCTCGCCGAGAAAAAAACGCACACGTCCGAGCGATGCCAAGAAGCTTGAAATCTGCGGCAGTTTCCGGGTCGAGGGTGGGCCGTTTTCAAACTGTGGTTCTCGCCTTCGCGCCGCGCGCATTCGGTGCAAAAGCTTGCAAGGGCTTCACGCATGGAGGGTGGGTGGTTTGAGATTATCCTGGCGATAGGCCCCAACAGATGCAGGTGTGAATACAGCAATTATGAGTGTTTCCTTCGGTGGAGCTCCCTAGCCGCATGCGAACGCAGCCGCTGGGGCCTTCAATGGAGCTCCCTATGGGGACACGAAGCATGTGACCAGTGTGCCGACATGGGGGTAGAACCGCATGCGAACGAAGCCACTGAAGCCTTCGGTGGAGCTCCCTATGGGGACACGAAACGTGTGAGGGGTGCGCCGAAATTTGGGAGGAACCGCATGCGAACGCAGCCACTGGGGCCTTCGGTGGAGCTCCCCATGGGGCCACGCAACGTGTTCTCGGTGCCAAAATCGGGATGGAACCTCCTTCGGCGGAGCTCCCTGTGGGCCACGGAACGTGTGAGGGGTGTACCAAAATGGGGGGTGGAACCGCATGCGAACGCAGCCAAAGGGTTTTCGGCGGAGCTCCCTGTGGGCCACGGAGCGTGAGGGGTGTGCCAAAATGGGGGGATGGAACCGCATGCGAACGCAGGCGCTGGGGCCTTCGATGGAGCTCCCTATGGGGCCACGGAGCGTGTGAGGGGTGTGCCAAAATGGGGGGTGGAACCGCATGCGAACGCAGGCGCTGGGGCCTTCGGTGGAGCTCCCTATGGGGCCACGAGGGGTGTGCCGACATGGGGGTGGAACCGCATGCGAACGCAGCCAGTGTGGCCTTCGGTGGAACTCCTTACGGGGCCACGAAACGTGCGAGGGGTGTACCCAGAAGGGGGTGGAATCGCATGCGAACGCAGCCACTGGGGCATTCCGTGTAGCTCTTTATAGGGCCACAAAACGTGTGAGGGGTGTGCCGAAATAGGATTGGGGAGGATGGAGGAGCGGGAGGAGGAGGGATGTTCCTTTTCCTCTTCCTGTTCCAATTCCTATTCCTCCTCCTCGCCCCCCGACGACCAAATATCGCTGCTTTAACCTGCCCTCCTCTGATACCCCACCTCCGCCCTCCCCTCATGACTCTGGTCTTGCAGACGGGTTCAGACGGGTTCCGATACAAGAGACCCGTGGGTTCCTGCACATGAGACGCCCCAAAACGGCGAGCGACAAACGCAATGGATTTCATGTGGAACTGTTCCCTACCTAGGCTCTGCCTAGAAGGGTTCTTACTTTAGAGCTTAACGGGGCCCGGCAGTGCAAATCGCCCTGGGCGGTTCCCCCAGGGTCCGCCCCGCGGTTCCCCCAGTTACGTCCCCTCAGCTTAGCGTTGCTTATCTCATCTTAGCTCAGCCTAGCTTAACTTAGCTTAGCTTAGCTTAGTTTAGCTTCGCCTAGCCTGGCCTAGCTTAGCTTGCTTAGCCTAGCCTAGCCTAGCCTAGCTTAGCTCAGCTTAGCTCAGCTAAGCTTAGCGCAGCATTCGCATAGCATAGCATAGCATAGCATCGCATAGCCCAGCCCAGCATAGCATAGCGCAGCATGGCATAGCATAGCATAGCATAGTATAGCATAGCGCAGCATAGCATAGCATAGCATATCATAGCATAGCGAAGTTGTAGATGCAGATGTAGATGTAGGTGTAGATGTGGATGTAGGTGTGGATGTAGATGTAGAGGTAGATGTAGATGTAGGTGTGAGTCTCGCTGATGATGTTGATGTAGATGTAGATGCATGTGTAGATGCTTATGTAACTGTCGGTGTAGATGTAGATGTTGCTTTCCTAGATGCTCCAACTCCTAGGTAGGGTCGCACTGGGATAATTTGAATCCCACTTACACCCAAGAGGTCTTCATCCCCCCTCCAACAAGTGGAATTATTTATCCAGCGGCCTTATTGACGTATTGGTCTCCCACCAATAAAGGGAAGCAGCTTATTTTGCCCGCGGCGCCCACCAGGAGCGCTCGTATGGAAAATCCGCCGACCCCTTGGGGTTCATCGGCGTGTGAGATGTTCCCCCTCCCCAAACCCCTCCCCCGGGAGCCCGGTCTGGTCGATTTGGAGGGGGGGGGGGTCGGGCCGGATCCCCCGGATGGGAACGGAGGGGTCATCCGGGCGGGGGGGGGGTCGGGCCGGATCCCCCGGATGGGAACGGAGGGGTCATCCGCTCCCGAAAATCGTGCAAAACCTCCTGAAAATCGTGCAGGGACTCCTCTGGTGGCCTCGACATGGCTCTGGGACGCCCAACGAGCGCTCCAAGCCGCCCAAGGTGGCCCAAAAACGGGCCACGAGGCGTCCTCGACGGCAGAAGAGGCCCCCACGAGCCCCCCCGAGGGCCTCCGAGATGCGTTCCACGAGGGTCTCTAGACGCCAAAATTGGCCCATTCCCTTCGTGAAACGTACATTTTTCACAAATTCGGCTTTGGGCCTTTTCCGATGCTCCCCGACGGCCCAAGAGGCCCCAAACCCGCTCCCAGACGGCCCCAGGAGCCTCGCAGAGGGTGCCCCACATACCCCTAGAGGGCCCCAAGGCCTCCACAAAGCTCCACACGGTCCCAGACGGTCCAAGAGCCTCCCGACGGCTCAACAGGCCCCCAAGACGGCCCAAGAGGCATCCAAGATTCGCCCCAAAAGGCCCTCTAGACGCAAAAAATCGCCCGTTCCCTTCGTAAAACGTTTATTTTTTCACACGTGCGCCTTTTGGGGTGTCCCCCGCTCCTGGACGGCCCCAGAGCCCCCCAAACCCGCTCCCAGACGGCCCAAGACGCCTCCAAGAGGGTTCCCCATATAGCCCTAGAGGGCCCCAAGACGGGCCAACAGACGTCCAAGACGGCCCAAAAGGGCTCCGAAAACGATGCGTCGCTGGCGCCAAAACACAACATACAGCATGACGCATCACTCCGAACTCTGATGGGCGTCGGTTGCTGGATTCGTTTAAACCAAGAAAAAACATGTTTAGAACAAAAAACAAAACAACAAACCAAACCACTCCAAACATATAGCAAAACAGCGTTTAGGTCGCGCGCTGAAGTCCACGAGGGCTCCTCGAGAAGTGACAACGAAAGGTGTCACATGTGTCGGGTCCCCTCTTCAATAAGGGCTCCTCGAGAAGTGAACACACGACAGTTGTCACGCATGACGGCTATTCATTTTGTTTGCCTTCCTCCTCATCATCCTACTTTTCTTCCTCATCATCATCATCATGATCACCCTGTTCGTCGTCGTCGTCCTCCTCCTCCTCATTA